GAGTGTGAAACAGGAGCGTGGAGTGGGGGCCGAGTGTGCACTGGGGCGCCCCCAGGTGTGTGTGCAATGAGCGGGGGCTGTGAGTGTGCAAGGGGGGATTTCCCTATGGGGGGGGGTCCGAGGGGGTCTGACCCCCCCCTCCCCTCCCCCCCAGGCCGGGCCCCCCCCGGAGCTGCCCCCCGCCCTCCCCCCCGAGCGCTGGGTCCTGCCCGAGCCCCCCCGGCCCGACCCCGAGGGGCTCCGGCCCCGCCTCGAGCAGCTCGTGGAGGTGCGGGGGGGGGGCCTGGGGGGGCCTGGGGGGCCTGGGGGTGACTCTGGGGGGGCTGGGGGGGGGTTAGGGGGGATCTGGGGAGGGGGGACTTGGAGGAATTGAGGGGTTCGAGGGGCTGGGGGGGTGTGGGGAGGGGTCCCTGGGGGCAGTTTTGGGGTTCGAGGGGTCCGGGGGGGTGAGGGGTGGGGGGGTTTTGAGGGGGGGTCTTGGAGGGCTCCGAGGTGATTTTTGGTTTTTTTTGGGGTTGGGGGGGGTCCTCAGTCCATTTTCCGGAATTTCGACGTGGACGGGGACGGGCGGATCTCGGTGGAGGAATTTGGGATCGTGAGGGAAAATTTCCCGCACCTGCCCCCCCTGGGGGAGCTGGACACCGACATGTGAGACCCCCAAAACCCCAAAACCCTTCAGTGACCCCCAAACCCCCCCGGGGACACCCTCAAACCCCCCCGGGACCCCCAACCCCCCCCTGGGACCCCCAAAACCCCTCAGTGACCCCAAACCCCCCCAGAATCCCCAAATCCCCCCTGCGCCCCCACCTGCCCCTCCTGGTCGGGGGATCTGAGACCTGAGACCCCCCCGTCCCCCCGAGGACCCCCAAAATAGGGGGAACCCCCACCCCCCCCTCCCCTCCGTGACCCCTTTGTGACCCCCCCAGGGACGGGGGGCTCAGCCGGGGGGAGGTCCTGGATTATTTCCTGCGCTGCAGCCAAGGACCCCCCCCGGAACCCCCCCATAATTTTCGGGGGCTGCGGGGGCTTCGCGCGGGGCCCTGCGAGACCTGCGGGAAACTGGTGAGTGTGGGGGGGGAGGGGGGGTCCCCAAAATCCCCCCAAAATCCTCCCAAAATCCCCCCAAAATCTTCCCAAAATCCCCCCAGAATCCCCCCAAAATCTTCCCAAAATCCCCCCAAAATCTCCCCAAAATCCCCCCCAAAATCCCCCCAAAATCTCCCAACCCCCCCCCCCCCCCAAAATCCCCCAGATTCACCCATAACCACCCCAGGTCCCCTCAAAGCCCCCCAAAGTCCCCCAGATCCCCCCAAAACCCCCAAAACTCCCCTAAATCTCCCCAAACCCCCCTCAAACCACCCCAGATCCCCCCAAAATCCCCCAGATCCCCCCAAAATCCCCCCCAGATCCCCCCACCCCTACCAAGCACAGCTCGGGGGGGGGCACCGGGACCCCCCCTGAGCCTTCCCTCCCTGCCCCCCCCCCAGATTTGGGGTCTGCACAAGGATGGGATCGAGTGCAGCGGTGAGTGGGGGGCTGGGGGGTCCTGGGGGGTCCTGGGGGGTCTTGGGGGGTCTTGGGGTGGTCCTGGGGGAGGTTTTAGGGGGGTTTTGGGAGGATTTTGGGGGGGGTCTCTGTGTGATGGGGTTTTTGGGGGGGGTCTCTGGGTGTTGGGGGGGTTTTGGGGGAGCATTTGGGGGATTTTGGGGGTGGTCTCTGGGTGCGATTCAGTTTTTGGGGGGGTTTTTGGAGGGGGGTCACTATGTGAGGAGGTTTTGGGGGGTCTTTGGGTATGAGGGGATTTTGGGGGAGGGTCTCTGTGTGTGAGGGGTTTTTGGGGGGGTCTCTGTGTGTGACGGGGATTTTGGGGAGGGGTCTCTGTGTATGAGGGGTTTTTGGGGGGGGTCTCTGTGTGTGATGGCGTTTTTGGGAGGGGTGTCTCTGTGTATGAGGGGGTTTTGGGGGGGTCTCTGTGTGTGACAGGGATTTTGGGGGTGGTCTCGATGTGAGGAGGTTTTGGGGGGGATCTCTGGGTATGAGGGGGTTTTGGGGAGGGGTCTCTGTGTGTGACGGGGTTTTTGGAGAGGGTCTCTGGGTATGAGGGGTTTTTGGGGAGGGTCTCTGTGTGTGACGGGGATTTTGGGGAGGGGTCTCTGTGTGTGACGGGGATTTTGGGGAGGGGTCTCTGTGTATGAGGGGTTTTTGGGGAGGGTCTTGGTGTGTGACGGGGATTTTGGGGAGGGGTCTCTGTGTATGAGGGGTTTTTGGGGGAGGGTCTCTGTGTGTGACGGGGATTTTGGGGAGGGGTCTCTGTGTGTGACGGGGATTTTGGGGAGGGGTCTCTGTGTGTGATGGCGTTTTTGGGGAGGGGTCTCGGTGCGAGGGGCTCCCCGTGCCCCCCCAGGCTGCGGCCTGCGCTGTCACATCGCCTGTCGGGGCCGCCTCCGTCCCGAGTGTCGCCGCCGCCGGGCCCAAAAGCGTCGCCTCGGCCGCGCCCCCCCCGGAGCCCCCGGGCCCCCCAAATCCCGGCCCCGCTCCTTCAGCCTCTCCCTGCCCTGGCCCCGCCGCCCCTCGCTGCGCCCCTCAGGTGGGACCCCAAAAATCGCCCCCACTCGGGACCCCACGGATGGGGACCCTCAGGTGGTCCAGACCCCAAAAATGACCCAAAAATGACCCCAAAAATGACCCCCCCAGGCCCCCCCGAGGAGAATAGCGAGGATGATGATGGAGTTTTTGACACCCACCTGTGACAGGTGAACCCCCCCGAAAGGGCTGGGCACCCCAAATTGGGGGTCCTGGTTGTTGGGGACCCTCAAATTTGGGGGGTTCAGACACTTGGGACCCCCACGTCCCCCCCAGTTTGGGGGTCCTGGACATTGGGGTCTCATATTGAACCCCCCCCCCCAAATTTCCACAGGGTCCTGAAGGCTCCGGATCCCCCTGACCCCAAGGATTTTGGGGGGGGGATTTGGGTATCCTGACCACCCCCTCCGGGATTTTGGGGGGAATTTGGGCGACCCCGACCCCCGCCGGGATTTTGGGGAAGGTTTGGGGGCACCCCGGCCCCCGCCCCCGAGATTTTGGGGGGTTTTGGGGGCTCAGCGTTGGAATAAACTCAATAAACTCCGTGTCCGTCTGTCCGGCTGTGGGGTCTCTGTGGGGTCTTTGGGGGAAAGGACCCTCGAGGGTCCCTGGGGGTCCCTGTGGGGTCTTTGTGGGGTCTTTGGGGATGTTTTGGGGGGGGGTTTGGGGCGATTTTTGGGGTTGGGGGGATGTTTTGGGGGAGTTTTGGATGATGTTTTTGGGGGGGTTTGAGGGCGATATTTTGGGGGGGATTGGGGCGATTTTGGGGGGGGTTTGGGGCCAAGTTTCTGGGGGGGGTTGGGGGGATGTTTTAGGGGGGGTTGGGGGGATTTTTGGGGGGCGGTATTTTTGGAGGGATGTTTTTGGGGGGGTTGGGGCGATATTTTGGGAGGGGGTTTGGGGCAATATTTTGGGGGGGATTGGGGTGATTTTTGGGGGGTTTTGGGGCGGTTTTTTTGGGGAGGCTTCAGAGCGATTTTTTAGGGGGGTTCGGGTGATATTTTGGGGGGGGTTTGGGGGGATTTTTTGGGGGGAGCGGTATTTTGGGGGGAAGTTTTGGGGGGGGTTCGGGGCGATATTTTGGGGGGGTTTGGAGCAATATTTTGGGGGGGTTGGGGCGATATTTTGGGGGGGTTTGGGGTGATGTTTGGGGGGGTTGGGGCGGTATTATGGGGAGCTTGGGGTGATATTTTAGGGGGGCTTGGGGTGATATTTTGGGGGGGTTTGGGGGATCTTTTGGGGGGAGCGGTATTTTGGGGGGAAGTTTTGGGGGGGGGTTCGGGGCGATATTTTGGGGGGTTTGGGATATTTTGGGGGGTTGGGGGCGATATTTTGGGGGGGTTCGGGGGCGATATTTTGGGGGGTTTGGGGTGATATTTTGGGGGGGTTTGGGGCGATATTTTGGGGGGGTTCGGGGCGATATTTTGGGGGGGTTGGGGTGATATTTTGGGGGGGTTTGGGGCGATATTTTGGGGGGTTTGGGGTGATATTTTAGGGGGGCTTGGGGTGATATTTTGGGGGGGTTTGGGGGGATTTTTTGGGGGAGCAGTATTTTGGGGGGAAGTTTTGGGGGGGGTTCGGGGCGATATTTTGGGGGTTTGGGGCGATATTTTGGGGGGGTTTGGGGTGATATTATGGGGAGCTTGGGGTGATATTTTTGGGGGGGTTGGGGCGATTATTTTGGGGGGTTGGGGGCGATATTTTGGGGGGGTTGGAGCAATATTTTGGGGGGGTTGGGGCGATATTTTGGGGGGTTTGGAGCAATATTTTGGGGGGGTTTGGGGTGATATTTTGGGGGGGTTGGGGCGATATTTTGGGGGGTTTGGGGTGATATTTTCGGGGGGTTTGGGGTGATATTTTGAGGGGGTTGGGGCAATATTTTGGGGGATTTTGGGGCGATATTTTCGGGGGTTGGGGCGATATTTTGGGGGGGGTTGGGGTGATATTTTGGGGGGTTTGGGGCGATATTTTCGGGGGGTTTGGGGTGATATTTTGAGGGGGTTGGGGCAATATTTTGGGGGATTTTGGGGCGATATTTTCGGGGGTTGGGGCGATATTTTGGGGGGTTGGGGCGATATTTTGGGGGGGGTTGGGGTGATATTTTTGGGGGTTGGGGCGATATTTTGGGGGGTTTGGGGTGATATTTTGGGGGGGTTTGGGGCGATCGCGGAGCCGGTACCGAAGGGCAGGGGGGCTGTGGGGGGGGTTTGTGTGTCTGTGTAAGGTTTTTAGGGGGGCGGGGGTCGATGCGGGGCTGGGGGGGGGGGTTGCAGGGGGGTTGCAGGGGGGTTTGCAGGGAGGATGATCCGGGGGGGGGGTTGGTGGGGGGGGGGTTGCGGGCGCGCGCCGCTCCGGAGCCGTGCGCGTGCCCGGGGCGGGCGGGGGCTGCGGGAGCGGCGGGAGCGGCGGGAGCGGGGCCGCGGCCGGGACCGCCCGGGGCAGGTACCGGAGATCGGGGGGGAGGGAGGGACGGGGGGGGGCGCAGAACCGGGGGAGGGGGCGGCGGGGGTGGGGGGGGGACGGGGAGGGGACATTGAGGGGTTTGGGGGGCGCGGGGAGGGGGGGGGTGAGCAGAGAGGGGGGTGCGGGTGCGGGGATGGGGGGGTGGGGGGGATGCGGGGGGGTTTGGGGGGGTCAGGATGGGGGGGGGGGATGTGGGGAGGGGGGAGGTTGGGGGGGGAGGGGGGCAGGGGGGATGCGGGGGGGGGTACGGAGATGTGGGGGGAGGGGGAGGATGATGAGGGTCTGGAGGAAGGGGAGGGGGGGGTTAGGAATGGGGGGGAGATTTTGGGGGGCTCAGGGAAGGATTGGGGGGGGGATGGGGGGTGCGGGGTTGGGGGGACAGGGAGGGGTCACATCCCTTCCCCCCCCCCCCTCCCCTCCCCATCGCCGGGCGGGGTTTTGGGGGGCTCTGGAGGATGGGGGGGAGGGGAAGAGCCGGGGCTCCCCCACCCTGGGGAGGGGCCGCACCGCCCCCTCCCCCACTGCAGGGTCTGGGGGCCGCATCCCCCCCCTCCCCTCCCCCTCCCTTCCCCCCCCCCCTCTTTGCGCGTCCTCCGAGCCCCCCCCGGAATTTCGGGGCGCTCATCCCGCCCCTCCCCCACTGCGGGGGGCTCACCCAACCCCCCAAACCCCCCCAAAACCCCCCCGGCCCCCCCCGGCCGCGGGGCCTGCGCTGCACACGCGTGTGAACCGGGGCCCGGCCCCACGGGCGGCGTCACGCGGGGGCACACGCGTGTGAAACGGGGGGGGGGGGTCCGGGGCCATCTGGGGTGCAAAGGGTCTGGGGGGGGCCCGTGCTGGGGGGGGGGCGGCGGGAAAATGGGGGGGGGGACGTGGGGGTCTGAGGGGTTTGGGGGTGCACACGGGTGTGGAAGGGGCGTGCGTGGAATTTTGGGGTGCACACGAGCGTGCAGGGTGTGTGTGAGCAATTTTGGGGTGCACAGGAGTGTGTAAGGGCTGTGTGTGTAATTTTGGGGTGCACACGAGTGTGGACAGGGGCTGTGTGTGGTTTTGGGGTGCACACGAGTGTGAAATGGGGGTATGTGTGATTTTGGGGTGCACACGAGCGTGCAGGGGCTGTGTCCGTGCAGTTTTGGGGTGCGTGTGTAGGGAGGGGTGTTAAACTGGGGGCACACGAGCGTGCAGGGGGGGTGTGAGGTTTGGGGGTGCAAAGCAGGGTGTGAGGGAGCTGTGCCCAGTGTTGGGGTGCACGCGAGCGTGCAGGGGGTGTGCGTGTGTAATTTTGGGGGGCACAGGAGCGTGGAACGGGGGGTGTGTGAGGTTTGGGGGTGCACAGGTGTGCAAGGGCTGTGCGGGTGCGGGTTTTGGGGCGCAAAACCGATGTGTGAGGGAGCTGTGCCCACTTTTGGGGTGCACACGAGCGTGCAGGGTGTGTGTGAGCAATTTTGGGGTGCACAGGAGTGTGGAAGGGGCTGTGTGTGATTTTGGGGTGCACACGAGCGTGCAAGGGCTGTGTCCGTGCAGTTTTGGGGGTGCGTGTGTAGGGAGGGGTGTTAAACCTGGGGGCACACGAGCGTGCAGGGGGGGTGTGAGGAATTTTGGGGTGCACACACGTGTGGAAGGGGCGTGTGTGTGGTTTTGGGGTGCAAAGCTGGGTGTGAGGGAGCTGTGCCAAATTTTGGGGTGCACACGAGCGTGCAAGGCGGGGTGTGTGTGGAATTTTGGGGTGCGCACGAGCGTGCAGGAGGTCTGTGTGCAGATTTGGGGTGCACACGAGTGTGCAAGGCGGGTGTGTGAGGTTTTGGGGTGCACACGAGCGTGCAGGGTGGGTGTGTGTGCGTGTGTGTGTGTGTGTGCAGATTTGGGGTGCACACGAGCCTGGCGTGTTTTGGGGTGCGCGTGTGCAAACCCGGGGCGCACGCGCGTGTGCAAGGTGTGTGTGTGTGGGGGGGCTCAGGCCAGGCTGGGGCGTTTTGTGGGGGGCACCTGAGCGCGTTCAGGTGCGCGGGGGGTGCGGGTGAGCGTGCAAGGTGTGCACACCTGGGCGGGGGTGGGGCACGCGCGTGTGCAAGGGGGGGCGTGTCCGTCACCTGCGCGAGGCCGCCGCTCACACGGGGGGGGGGGGAAGAAGGGGGTGGGGTTTGAGGGGGTCCTTTTGAGGGGGGGGGGGGCTGGGGAGTCCCCGCACCCCTGGGTGCCCCCCCCGGCCCCGCCCTGCCACGCCCCCCCCGTCTCCTCCCCGTGACCTTCAGGGGACACGAGGGGGGACACGCGTGCCCCTCCCCCACCCACAGCCCCCCCTAAAGCCCCCCCAAGGGGGTCCCAGAGGGTTGGGGGGGGATCCCTCTGTAGAACCCCCCCCATAGACCCCTCTGACCCCCCCGGGGTGTCCCATGGGTCTGGGGGCTCCTCAGTTTCTCCCAGAGCCCCCCCAAGTTCCCCCCCAGACCCCTCTCCCCCCTTTATCAACAATCAGCGATCGATAATTGATTAATTAATTAATTAATGACCCCCCGGGGGGTACGGACACCGTGGAGGGGGGAGGGGGGCGCTCCCGGGCCCGGGTCCCTCCCCCTGAGGGTCCCTGGGGGTCTCTGGGGGTTCCCCCCCCCAGCCTGGGCCCCCCCAGGGGATGGGGGGCTGGGGGGGGTCGCTGTCATCCCCCCCCCCTTTCCAGGTGCAGCAGTTAATGTGATTGGCTAATTATGCGCTGCATGTTAATGAGCCCCATTAGCCAACAAGGGGGGCAGGGGGGGTTATAAATAACCTGGGGGCTCATTTGCATAATGCCAGGGCCCGGGTTGCCGCGGTGACCGACCCCCCCTTCCCCCCCCCCCCATCACGGGGTTAATTAACGTGCTGATAACGAAGGGGGGGGGGGGGCCCTGCTTGCCTATCCCCCCATACCTGCCTGTCACCCCCCCCCTCCCCCCCCCCTCCTTCCAGAGCCCCCCCTGATTGTGCTCCCCCCCCCCCCAGGTGCCTCCGGACCCCCCCGGCAGGCCGACGCCGCCCGCTGGGGCCACCCATGTGGCTGTGAGAGGACGGGGGTGGCCGGGGCCCCCCAGGGCCCCCCCAGGGCCCCCCCAAAGCGCCCAGGCTCCGCAGCCAGCCCAGGCACCATGACCTGTCCGGCCGCCGAGGGACACCCGGCTCCCGGGGGCCGCCAAGAGACCAAAGCCCACCTGGGCTCTGTGGCCCACCCGGGCCCCCAGCACGGCTCCATGGCTCCTCAAGGCTCTGAGGGCCACCAAGAGACCAAAGCCCACCCGGGCTCCGTGGCCACCAGAGGATCCGTGGCCAGCTGGACCTCTGCGGTCAGCCAGGACCACCGAGAGACTAAGGCCCACCTGGGCACTGTCACCCACCTGGGCACTGTCACCCACCTGGGCACTGTCACCTACCTGGGCTCTGTCGCCCACCTGGGCTTTGTGGCCGACCAAAACTTCGTGGGCAACCAGGACCACCCCGAGCCCGGTGCTGGTGGTGGCTCCGTGGTGCTGTTGGACTCCAAGATCTCCCAAGGCTCTGAGGAGCACCTGGGGACTCGGGTCAGCCAGGCCTCTGTGACCCACCTGGCGTCTGTGGCCACCCAGGACCACCTGGAGATGGAGGTGCATCAGGAATCCGTGGCCAACCGAGGTTCTGGGGGCAACCAGGAGCACCCAGAGCCCGACATCAACATCTCCTTGGACTCCAAGGTCAATCAGGGCTCCGTGGGTCATTTAAACCTGAAGGGCCACCAAGACCCCGCCCCCTCCCAGGCCTCCGAGGACCCCCAAGAGCCCAAGGTCACCCAGGGTCCCGTGGCCAACCAAAAGACCAAGGTCAACCAAAGCCCCATGGCCCCTCTAGAGGCCAAGGTCAACGAAGACCCCGTGGTGCGTTTAGACTTGGGGGTCCACCAAGCCCCCTGTGGCCACCCGAGCCCCCGAGGACCCCCGAGCGCCCCTGGCCCACCCGGACAGCCAGGCTGACCAGGCCCTGGTGGCTCTCACAGACTGGAACGTCCACCAAGCCCCCCTGGCCGAGCACAGCCCCGTGGACCCCCAAGAGACCGAGGTCAAGCCCGGCCCTCCGGACCCGAGGGTCCCCCTGGAGACCACGACCGAGGGACGCTGCCTGGGCACCGAGTGCCACCAACCCCGCGTGCCCACCTGGGCCGCCCCGGGCCCCCCGCCCACGCGCCCAAATCCCCTCGGGCGCCCGCTGGGCCTGGTGCTGCTGACGCTGGGCTCCCTCCTGCTGCCCTGCGCCCGGGGCTCGGCGCTGGAGTTCGGGGGCGCCCCGGGGCAGTGGGCGCGCTACGGGCGGTGGGCGCCGGGCGCGGGGGGGCCAGCTCAGCTTCCGCTTCAAGACCAACGTGACGCGGGCGCTGCTGCTCTACCTGGACGACGGCGGCAACTGTGACTTCCTGGAGCTGCTGGTGGCCGAGGGGCGGCTGCGGCTGCGCTTCGCCATCGCCTGCGCCGAGCCCGCCACGCTGGAGCCGCCGGCGCCGGTCAGCGACGGCCGCTGGCACGCGTGCTGCTGACGCGGCAGGCGCGGCACGCGGCGCTGGCCGTGGACGGCGAGGCGCGGGCGGCCGCCGTGCGCTCCAAGCGGCCCGACATGGCCGTGGCCAGCGACCTCTTCGTCGGGGGATCCCGCCCGACGTGCGGCTCTCGGCGCTGACGCTCAGCACCGTCAAGTACGAGCCGCCCTTCCGCGGGGTGGGTGGCCGACCTGCGGGTGGGCGACGCGCCGGCCGCGCTGCTGGGCGCCCAGGGGGTCCGGGGTGGACGGGGACGAGCGCTGCGCCCACCACCCGCCCCTGCGCCCACGGCGGCCGCTGCACCCTGCGCCGTGGGGAGCCCCGCTGCGACTGCGCCGGCACCGGCCACCGCGGGCCCCTTCTGCGAGGAAGGTGAGGGCGCAGCGAGGAAGGAGGGCAGGGGGTGAGGGAGGGGTGGGGCGGGCGCAGAATCAGCTCGGGGGTCTCTCGCACGTCCTTGTGTTTCTCCATGGTTTCGCGGCGTTGGGCGCCTCCGTGTCTTGGGGTCATTGTGTCCTTGAGGGTTTCTCCATCTCTGTGGCATTGCTTGTCCTTCTGTTGTCACCTCCTTGTGTCTCTCCGTGGAGTGTTCATCTTCGTGGCTGTGTTTCTCCATGTCCCCATGTCCTCGTGTCCTCCTTCATGGTGTTGGGTGGCTTTGTGTTTCTCCATCTCTGGCTTTGGGTGTCCTTGTGCTGCTCCGTGTCCTCTTGGCCTTGCACGTCCTCGTGTCATTGTTCCTTCACACCCCCATGTCCCTGTGTCATCGTGTCCTCCACATCCCCCCATCCTCGTGTCATTGTGTCCTCCACATCCCCATCCTCGTGTCATCGTGTCCTCCACATCCCCGTGTCCTCCTGGCATTGAGCCTTGGGTGCTCCTTGTCCCTCCATGACTTCCTGGTGTCCTCGTGTCATTTTGTCCTTGATCTCCTCCGTGGCTTTGTGTCCTCGTGGTGTTTGTTTTGTGTCCTTGTGTCCTTCCAGTCCTCGTGGCACTGGACACACCCATGGCGTTTAACTGGTCATTGTCACGGTGTCCTCGTGTCACGGTGTCCTCGTGTCACGGTGCTCCCGTGTTCTTACACCCTCCTGGGTTTCTGTGTCCCCTCTGTGTCCTCCTGGCATTGTGTCCTTGAGTTGCTCCGTGTCCTCATGTCCTACTCATGTCACCCATCCTCGTGTCCCTCGGTGTCCTCGTGTCCTCCTGGTGTCACACGTCCCTCTGTCCTCTTGCCCTTGTGTCACCCCGTGTCCTTTCACACCACTGTGCATGTGCTTCTCCAGGTCCTCGTGTCCTCCTCGTGTCACTCGTCCTCGTGTCCCCTGGTGTCCTCGTGTCCTCCTGCCATTTCTTGTGTCCTGGTGTCTCTCCTCACCCTTGAGATGTTGCACATCCACACATGTCCCCCGTGTCCCCCATGTCCTCTTGTCCCCCTGTCCTCACGTCCCTCATGTCCTCTTGTCCCTCCCGGTGTCCTCAGTGTCCTCCCCCACCCCCATTTTGCACATCCCCGTGCCCTTGTGTGTCCTCGTGTGACACAGGTGACCCTCTGGGGGTGACAGGAGGGTTTGGGGACCCCCCCCCATGGTGTCACCCGCCATGTTTACCCCTCCCGGTGTCCCCGCACGCCCCGGTGTCCCTGCCTGTCCCCACCCCCTGGCACGCCCCTGTGTGATGGCGCGCCCTGCTGTGGGCTGGGTGTCCCCACGGTGACGGTGACGATGACAGCACCAGCCGGGCGTGGCCCCGGGGGTCTCTTGTGCCATCCCGCCCTCGCACACGGGACCCGGGGACAACCACCGGTGTCACCGTGGTGACAGCATCCCCGGTGTCACCGTGGTGACAGCATCCTCCGGGCGCGTTGCCAGGGCTGGTTGCCATGGCGCCGCCGGGGCTGGGTACCCATTGCCATGGAGACGCCCGGGCCTGTCTCCCTGGCGACGGTTGTCACGGCACTGCCGGATGCTCCCGCCACGTCCTTGAGGGGGGACAGGAATGGGGGGGGCTGGAGGGGGACTGGAGGGCCCTGGGGTGCTGAGGGGTGCCCCATGGGGTGCAGGGGCCCTATAGGGTGCCCTGTGGGGTCCATGGTGCCTGTGAGGTGCCCTATAAGCTTCTGGGGTGCTATGGGTGCCCTATGGGGGGGGCTGAGTACCTGTGGCGTGCCCTATAGGGTGCAGGGTCCCTTTGGGGTGCCCTATAAGGTGCTGGGGTGCTATGGGGTGCCCTATAGGGTGTGGGGTGCTATGGGGGTGCCCTATAGGATGCAAGGTCCCTTTGGGGTGCCCTATGGGGTGCAGAGACCCTGTGGGGCACCATGAGGGATGCCAGGTGTGCACAGGGTGTGTAAATCCCCCCTCGGGGCGTGCAAACCCCTCCCCCCCACCCCTCCCCCATTGTGCCCCGCCCCCAAGGTCAACCCGAGGTCACGGGGTGGGGTCACACGGGCGCGGTGGGGGGAGGGGCTTGGGGACACACCTGGGGGGTCCTGGGCACTAATGGCTCTGCCCCTCCCCCCCTGCTGCCCCCCCGGACCCCCAGAGGAAGAACCCGCGGTGGAAGGTGAGTGGGGGAGGGGATTTTGGGGGGAGGGAATTTGGGGGAGGGGATTTGGGGGCGTGGCCGTGCAAAGCCCCGTGTGACGCCTGGGCTGGGCGGGGCCTGCCTCAGGTGTGTGCAAAGGGGCGTGCCGGCTCCAGGTGTGCAAATCCCGGGGAAATCGGTTCCGAGGGGGCGTGGCCAGTGCGGCAGAGGGCGCGGTTTTATGCAAAGTAGTGGCGAGGGGCGGGGCTTGGCGCTCGTGCGGAGCACGTGGCTCCCGTGACGCTCGCGCAGGGGCGGCACCCCGCAGCTCCCCCGGCCATGACGTCACTCCCCTGGGGGCCCAATAGGATGGCGATATGCAAATGAAACCGGCACGGCCGAGCCAATGAAGCGTGTGTGACGGGGTGTGGGTGGGGGAGATATGCAAATTATAGCGGCGCCGGCAGCCAATGGGAGGAGGGAGCCATGAGGTTGCCGTGGATTGGCTGAGCCCAGTCCCATGGGGCGGGGCTTGCACGAGGGCTTGAAAGAGGCGGAGCGTTGTTTATTGGCGGGGGCGTGGCCAGCTCGAGGGGCGGGGCTTGCCCCCCACGTGCCCCGCACGAGGCTCCCGGGGTGGGGGAGGGTCCCCGCGCCAGGGGCGGCCCCGCCCCCCCGTGTCTCATCCCCTCCCCCACCCCCGGCTTTTCCCCGAAAAACCTCGGAAAAAGGGGAAAAACCCGCGGGAAAGCGGCGGGGGGGGAGGAAAAAACCGGCAGGGGC